GAAGGGGGATCCACATTGTGGCGCACGCCTAATCGGGTCCGAGGGCCGGCGGCCAGCCGGCACACATGCTCGCTCACGCAAAAACGCCGCCGTCCGTTATGGGTTGAAATTTATTTGTTTTGAACGACATAGTTCCCTTATTTTCAGTACATGTTTACTTTTACCTACACACATACATTAAATGTAGGCCCTTTATAATCCCAGTTGGGAAGACAGAGAAAATTTAAAGGATTTTTCGTCGCTAACGCCTTCGGGGAGGCCCTTGGAGGCTGAGAGAAACTCGAAAGAGGAGCGGAGGATAATGCTATATAAAGGGTGGGCCAAACTAGGGTAACCAAAACATTCACCAGTATCACCTGTCGTCCCGTTGATCATCGAATTGCTCGAGCGGGCGCCAGCAACGTCTCCATTCGTCCTGTCGCGTGCAAGAGTGGTCCAGTGGATCCTCCTCGCTCGAGGGACACGAAGTCCTTCATTCCTTTCGTTCAGAGCTTTCGTGAAGAAGTCTGACCATCGGGCCGGGTCGTCCAGGTGTTCGTTTGACGTCCCGAGGGATCCAGTCGGTAACCGCTCTGGTCCAACGGTCATCGCAAAATCGCATGACGTGTCCGGCCCACCTTATCTTCGATTCCTTGGCGAAAACGGCAGCGTCCCTGATCTTCGATCGTTGGCGTAGTTCGGAACTCCGGATTCCCCTCTGCACTTGCGTGTATAGGGTTACTCCTAGCATCGTCCTCTCGACAGCGCGTTGGATAACGCTGACCGCATGCTCGTCCTGCCTGCGCAGAGTCCAAGTCTCTGAGGCGTAGGTTAGGGCAGGAAGGACAGCGGAATCGAAGAGGTGGGCACGGAGCCGGATGTTCTTCGTCTTCTTCACTACTCCCTCGATGTTCTTGTACGCTCCCCAAGCCGCTCGTTTCCTCCTGCTCAGCTCTGGAGCTAGATCGTTCATCATATTGATTTCCCGACCTAGGTACACGTAGCTGGAGCATTCGGTGATGTTCGTTCCGTTGAGCGTGAATGGGGCATCAGGAACCAATCCGTTTCTCATAAACATCGTCTTCGTTAGGTTCAGCTGTAGACCGACCTTACCACAGGCGCAGTCGAAATCAGCCAGCATTCGCTCCGCTTGCTCGATGTTCGGCGTTATAAGAACGATGTCGTCAGCAAAACGAAGGTGGTGTAGTTGCCGGCCGTCGACCTTCACTCCCATGTCTTCCCATTCCAGTTGACGCATGACGTTCTCGAGAGCGGCGCTGAAGAGTTTGGGCGAGATGGTGTCGCCCTGTCGAACCCCTCTCTTGACGTCGATGATGACCTCCTTGTAGAATGGTGAGATTCTGGTCGTAAAGTTGCTGTAGAGCTCACGAAGAATCTTGATGTACTGAGTAGGGACGCCCTGGTTGCCCAAGGCTTCGATGACCGCTTCTGTCTCCACAGAGTCGAAGGCCTTCTTCAAGTCGATGAACGTGAGACAAAGCGGCATCTGTACTCTCGTGAAACTTCAATGAGTCTTGTAACCGTGTGGATATGGTCGATCGTGCTGAACCCTCTTCGAAACCCTGCTTGCTCGCATGGCTGTCCTTCATCTAGTATTCTGCCGATCCTGTTGGATGACTCGAGTGAATAGTTTGTAGATTACAGACAGCAGGCAGATTGGGCGATAATTGCCAATGTCGTCCAAGTCTCCCTTCTTGTACAGCAACACGTCCTGCTGGTTTTCCACGGAGTGGGTACCTTGCATTCCGACAGGTAGCGCGTGAAGAGTCGAGCCAGAGTTTTGATGATAACTGGCGGTGCATTCTTCAGATGTTCCGGTTTGACCCTGTCGAGACCGGGTGCTGTACGATTCTTCACCGACTTGATGGCGTGTCGGACTTCGGAAGAGAGAACTGAGGGAACGACGTATCCATCCTGTTGCAGTTGATAAGTAGGCAGATGGACATGGCTATCGAAGAGATCCGAGTAGAAGTCGTGGATGACTTTCTCCATTGCCCTTCGGGATGCAGTAACTGTTCCATCCGGACGTCGGAGGCAGGTCATCTTGGTCTTGTAGCTGGCAAAGCTTCGGCGGGCATTGCGGATGCTCCTCCCAGCCTCTGCTGCTTCAGCTAATACTGCTGCTCTTCGCTACTTCTCCTTAAGCAAATCTTCAAACCAAAACATATCATTGAAAATGGATATTAGCCCTATTGAACAAACGAACCTCAACGAAGTGTTAATTGCAGTTCTCCGAAGCAAAACCATGTTGAGATTCAATCTGCTTCTTATTGCATTCGTACCGGTCTTCAGATGAAGAGGGGAGGCAAGCACAGTAGCAGTCTCAGAAAGATTCCATTTCTGTTGTGCTTTCTTCAGCTCTCTGCCTTCCGTCGTTGTTAACGGCTGGCCGTCCTTGTGCGATGAGCAACGGCCAAACAAGTTTTCCCTTTTCGCGTTTTTCTATGGATTCTCTGCAATCGCCATTGGCGTACCACTGAGCATCCTCATGTCCCCGTGAACCCTTCCAAAAATTGTAATCGTGCTGGGTTTCGTAAACCCACCTGGGTAGAAACATGCTCTCGGCTGTGATCTCTCTCCGTGGACTCTCTTCGTCATGCGATTTACCATTCCATCAGTTCATCAGTCCTGGAGAGGGCCCCACCTAGGTAAGAGAACGCAAACTGATGAACCATTTTCGGCTGTGTCTCATCCAGGTCCACTTCCAAATACTTCCCTATATTCTTCCCCTGTGGGGTAGGGGACACCCTGGGTGAAAATAACTAGTTTTTCTTACTTTTTTTTTCAATTAAAACGCTTAGTTGCGAGTAACTCCCCACGAAAGAAGGTAACGAATAGCTAGTTTATCGCTGCCTTTGATCATGCGTATAAAACAAGCATCCCTTCACTATAGCTGGAATAGCCAAAGTGAGGCTTCACTGGTGGATGTGATTCAAAATGGAAAAAGATTATTAACGCGGTGAAGATATGATTAGCTCGCCGATGAGCGTTCATTTTCATGCGTTCGTAACTGCCTATCAAGTCTTTCTTCGCAACATATGAATTGTGTTTGTGGGATGTCTTGAGGAATCACATAAAATTTCAGAGAGATTGAGCCAAAAATCTCGCCTGAAACCCCGGACGTTAAAGTAGTGGATGCGGAAGGAATGATGGTGATGCCGGGTGGAATTGACCCTCACACGCACATGCAGTTTCCCTTTATGGGACAAGTAGCCGTAGACGATTTCTTTTCTGGCACAAAAGCAGCTTTAGCCGGTGGAACAACAATGGTCGGTTGACAGCTCTTTTTTCTAGTTTCCATTCAACACTGTAGGAAAACTTGCTATTGAACAACAACCCCATATGAGGTCGTGTTGAACAATCTATTCTATGGGTAGGATGGTGTAGCCAGCGAGTATCATAGTTGCGCCGTAGCCGCCGCTACGAGGCCTTTCAAAGTGAACAAATAGCTCATGTGAGCTGATGGACAACATACTTGCGCACATCCTATGGTACGTAACCTGGATTACGCTGGTACGTAACCTGGATTACTCGTAGCGGTTAATTCAAAAACGCGCGGGTCAATGAAGCCATAGAGCAAGCGAGTTAAGAGAGCTCATCCGGGCACGGCCCTTCACTCATTTGAGGGGAAAGAGAAGGAGTTCTGTTAAGAACTCATTGGCAGCTTGCATTTTTCGTTTTCAAGTTTAATTAACTTTAGCATCCGCATTTTGACTATCGGCCGCTATTACCTCACCAGTGTAATCAGGGGTTGTTGCTTTAACACCGGCACGCATATCGACAAATGCACACAACTTGTTAACGGTCTACAAAATAAAAGATAACAGTCAAGAGACTTTTCCATTTAGATAATTGATTTTGTGGTACCGACGAAGGACACAACCCCAATCGCAGCATACCGCCAGTGGAGGGAGTGGGCTGATCCTAAGGTAGGACTGAATTTTTTTAGCCGTTTTCAGTTGAACTGTGATCATTTATGTACAAAAAATTGAAAGTGCTCAAAAGAAAATGTGAATTGCAAGTAAGGCGTTGAAATAGTGCCTGCCATGACTAAAACCGTGGCTAAGGACCAAGAGACTCTTGCAAAGACCTCCTTCTCGGATATATTGCCATAGACGGCTATTACATCATGACTGCCATCTCCTGAGAAATCTCTTACGAAAGTGATGGAAGTTCTACATAAGCTCGCAAAGGGAGACCACAGTATGAAATAGACGAGCAAAGTGGTCCACGGTATGTATGGAATGTTTCATAGTAGCTGCACAACGAATTGGAATAAGTTTAAATGCAGAACATCCCATGGGTTGCTGTTTAATTACAACACCTCTGTGTACCGTGTTCTCCTGAATGAGAAGAGGATAGATATCTTACGCCACAAGGGCCTTGAGTGACGAGCAAAGATCATCAATGTGCCACTCGATGCGTGGTCAATTACAAGGGTATAAATGATCGATTTCACTTCGTTTTAATGAGTTTATAATTCTATGGTAGGTATGCTGCGATTATGGGTTATCCATGGCGATCACAAGCTGGGGTCCCAATATCGCAGAGGAAATGGAACAGCTAACGAAGCCAGAGTATGGTGAGGTGTCTTACTGCATTTAGTATAGCATACTATTAGTCATTTTTACTACTACTTCTGTCTGAAGAAAACAGTTTTAGGCATAAACTCGTTCAAATTCTTCTTGGCCTATATGGGAACATATATGGTTCGTGATGAAGAATTCTACCAAGGTGAAGGCCTGCCAGTACATCTTGTGTTTGATTCCAAATATTCAGCCATGCGGAACGACCAATTATAATTTCTTACTGCGTCAATTTCTGTGCAGCCAGGGGTTGCTTCAAAGCCATGAGGGACCGCCTGTTTGCGATCCTCAAGGAGACGGAGCGCCTCGTAAGCCGGCCAGCGTCCCTCCCCTGCTCCCGTCTGGGAGCGGCCGAGTTGGTGGCCCTTGTTAGAAGGCTGTGAGCGTGTGGAGCTGAGGATTGTACTCCAACCTAGAACGGATGCGTAATATGTAAAGAACGCGGAACGGAACCCATGAGGAGGCGATCCAGGGGGTGGTCGACGATGTGATGAGTCAGTTGTCATAATAAAAAAACACTGGTGTGCAAAAACAAAATTTATAGGAATAATATTTAACAATTTCATATGTGAATATGTTGGTGGGGTCGATGTGCAGAGAAAAAGCTCGGCTTGTGTTCCGCACAAGTCCCTTAGACGGAAGTTAAGCAGGTGAAATATTCCATCTTGCGCTTTTCAGTAATGTTGTGCGGCGTAATCGGCACTGCGGTTCACCGTGTCGTTGTCATAGGGCCCCTCTAAATTCGTCCGCCGATCTCACAATATAATACAGCGTGCAGGCAATCAATCAATATACGGCTACGGCTAAATCGTTATCTGACGAGACGATGACATTTACTTAACAATTTCAAAATCAAGATCGAGTTGCCACACAACCACTCGGTGTGTCGGCTTAAATCCGGACTGGAGTTCCTCCAAGCCAGACAGTTCCTTGAGCCCACCCCTCAGATTTGCGGGCTTTTGCGGTACACACCAAACTTCGACATACCGTAGGATTACAATTAAAAAAGTATAAGTGTACAGTAGGCATTTAACACTGTACAACAGGCACTTAACAGTAAGGAAGATAGGAAAAAGAATGAGAACACATGTTAAAAAGTTTGAATATATGTGGTGGAGCTCTAAGTTTGAAGTTTTAAACTTCAATCTTGAAATTTAAAGAAGGGATGGATAAAATAGTATTACTTGACAAAAACGAGGAATAAATTGAAGACATCTTCTGGTGTTCCTCTGCCAAACTGGACCATATTGGAACATTCTGTTGACCACTCCATTTATTATTTGTGTATGTGTAGCCTATGGACACAAAAAACGTGAGCATGCGCAAAAAATGAATGTAATTGGTTTAGAATACATATGTTAAAACAACACCATTACAATTTTGCGGGAGAGCTAAAACCTCTAACCCACTTCTTTTCAAACCCTTCAGTGTGTGGTTTATTAAGCAATCTGAGGATATGCTGAATGGATCAGTTTATGGGTACCAGACCAGTAAAAATACCAACATTCGAGCTAGACTCCAGGAGCATATCGTGGGCCTGATGTTCCCGGCCGTGCTGTATGTGTTGGAACAATGGCGTGAACAGTTCTTATTGTTCCAAAGATAGAACAAACTTCTTCGAGCTGGCGCTCAACGCGACCGAGTCTGTCTGACACGCCTCCCAGGATACCAAGAATTCTTTGGTTATCGCGGTGCATGGCCTCTTTAGGCTGATCCACGGCTCTTGCTAACGCTGTGATAGTAGTCCCGCGAGAACGCGACTCCCTGCCCAATTTTGAACCAGCCTCATCATGATAGACCTGCTCTTCGGGTTCCTCAAACGGATTTCGGACGGCTGTCAGCGGGAGGTTCATATCGTAGCCCTCACGGATTGCGACGAACTCGTGCGCACGGTGACGGGTGAGCGGCGAGTCTTGTCGGCCGTTGAAGTTCGAAATGTACTTGCCGTTCTCATTGCCGACGTGGATCGATGAATATCCTCCACCTCAAAAATATCTGACATACTGGAGAGTTTTAACACACGTTTGCTAAATTGTTGCCGTGTCGGCGGCGTGATGCCATACCATAATGCTCAACGTAGCCCGCAAGTAATTGCATCCATAATTGCCGCGCTGTCGTCAATGCGTTAATTTATTGTTCGTAAATGTGAGGTCACCTTAGTTTTAGCTGGTCCTGATAAAGTTCGGAAAAAAGTTGTGTTTAACATCAAATAAATGGCCAAGAACCTTGGTGATACTTTCCTAGAATAAGTATAATACAGTACGGCAGAAGGTAAGGTACCAAGATAAATTGGTCATAACTAATCAAGAAGACTCAGCTTGCTTTTTGCTTTATTCATGAACAAAGTCTTCCTGGAACATCGTTCCTGTTGTTGTGGGAGGTGTTGTCGAGTTAGTAAAAGACTATAGAGCGACTAAGCGATTCTCCAATTATACTCTGGCTTGTCTTCGGCAACTAAATCAAGAGTTTTCCATTCACTTTGAGTTGGAAGAACTTAAGCATGTATGTCAATGTTGCTCTGATGCCCAACGTTCCTGCCGAAGGTGCGAATTAGTACGAGATAGTTCTCGCTACAGTTGGTTATATGTATTGCAGAGGCTCGAGGCATCCTCAACTCATGATTCCTGCAATTACGTGCTGCGAAGACCATCGCTGAATGGCTGGAGTTGTCTTCGCAGGGGCATTGACCCATTCTTTTCCGATCTAAGATTGGTACAACAATAATACGTGGTAGGGAAAAACGCCTAATGGCGATCTGAGCGAGCAAATAGCCGGTCGAGCGAGCTCTATTTCAGCGGTGCTTCGCTCGTCTCTTCGAGAATTTGCTAACCCAGTCACAGGAGCAATTTTTTACGTAGTGATGCTGGTGTAGGCCTTTTAAATTTCGTAATAGTATCCAACGAAAGTTTCATATAGCCTCCGAACGTCTTGCTATGTAACAAAACAAAAGAGCTCATCAGAGCAAAGAAGTGATTTTTTTTCAAGGAATCAGACGATCGACCGCTCCAGAACTGATACAATTCATGTGATAGAATGAAAGGATGAACATAGATTATCAATAGTAATACATTCTCTTTGGGACAACTTCTCAACGCTTCACAAGTGTAGGCCCACCAAGAACTTCCTGATTTTTATCGTGGAAAACAGAAAATCGGTGAGGGTGCGGATAATTTTTTACCCCATTGCGTACCGCGTGCTGGACATGGTGCAACACACGGTACACAGTGGAATAAGTGTCGAGATGTCCACGAGTTCTCCAAGCTTCCCTTGCAGAGTACGCTTCTTCCTGACCTATTTGAGCAGTTATGTCCTTCCTGGCAGACAAAGAACTGACCAATAAAATCAACTGCGATTGCAGCGATGTTAAAGTGTTCCCGAATTGGAGCGTTAGCTCGTGTTCATGCTGAAAATGGCTCTGTCATTTCTGAGAGGGCAAAAATTCTGCTTCAAAAGGGTGTCACTGGTCCAGAAGGTCATCGCCAGAGTCGGCCGGAGGAGGTTCGGTTTAATTTCTAGCAACATTACCTTTACGCTAATATTCACGAGAAATTTTCAGCTAGAAGCCGAGGCAACCAATCGGGCTTGTACTCTTGCATCACAGGCCAATTGTCCGCTCTACGTTGTTCATGTGATGTCGAAAGGAGCCGCGAAAGCCATCGCACAACATCGTCAAAAAGGTTACTTCTCAGATTCAACGCGACCTATTCTCAGTATGGCCGGTATCAGACTTTGCAAATGTAGCCAATCGTGGGGTACGAGCGATGAGCTAGCGGTAAGAACAATGCACCAGCGATGTTTGAAAGTGGCGGGAATCTCTCTCATGCACACACTGCCTCTTGCCACTTTCAAGGGATTTCATGCCCTTTTCGTCCCCTCATACCTTCTTGACCCGGGAAGGTGGCCTATAAACGAGTTTGAGGGACTTTCGCCACTTTTACACTATCGAGTTGCTGGTGCATAATTCGCACCGCTGGAACATCGCTTGCACCCCGTGATTAGGTAGCGATTTGCAGGAGTCACCAGCTAATTGGTTGGAGGTACTGGAGGTAGAACACCGGCCAAAGGGTACTGCGCAGCACTTCGAAGATCCCCTAGTCCAGAATGATCGCTCCAATTGCTCGAAACCCTTTCAAACATTTCTCTAGATCATTTTTTGAAGATAAGAGTCACCCTTGATTCGAGTGCATCCGCTAACGATTGGATGAAGTAGATGACCCAGTATAAAAAGGCAGTGCCTACCGTGTGTCCCCATATCCAAGCCACAACCAACTTGCAAACAGTTTGATCCCTTTTTCATTGCGGACACCAGATTTTTGTGCTTCTTCATTTCCACCAATTATTCTTTCACTTTGTCTTATTTTTTAATTTTTGAACAAAATAACACATCAACTCGGTCGCAATCCGTGTCTCCAAGAATCGAGCATGGCTTCCCCACTTTCTTCACGATTTGGGGCGCGGCCGCGGCAAACCCGCGGCGTTCGCGGCCGAGTAGTGCGGCATCAGCTTGCCTGAGTATTCGACGTTACATTACGTGTCGTTACGATCGGATGAACTAACACGTAATGTAACGTCGAATACTCAGGCAAGCTGATGCCGCACTACTCGGCCGCGAACGCCGCGGGTTTGCCGCGGCCGCGCTTCCAAATCGTGAAGAAAGTGGGGAGAGCCATCGAGCATCGGAAAAAACATATGAAGAATAAATGGCATTTCCATGTTGAAACAAGGTTCTCGATGATGTGCCAATATTTAGTAGCCTACCTGTACAACTCAAAAAAACTACGGTACGATCCCTAGCTGCAGCGATCGGTGATGAGTCCGAGTCCTCGTGCGAATCTTGTGACCAGTTTTCTTACGAGAGCAATTCAGGGCATGTGATCTTCGGTGAGCCAGTAGCTGCTGGCTTAGCTCTTGATGGCTCTCACTACTTCGACAAGGTGAGTGTTTAGAAATCATGAATAGTGAAGCAATATCTCTCTATTTTTCCCAGGATTGGTTACATGCCGCTAGGTACGTAATGTCTCCACCGCTTAGCGTCGATAAGTCAACACCGGAAGCCCTTATGGACATGCTAGCCGCGTTAGTTCTATTCTGCTCATTTCTAGAAAAATCTACAACTTCAGACTCAGACCGGAAAGCATAATGAGTTTCAGTGATCAACTACACCTGACAGGAACCGACAACTGCACATTCAACGGAGACCAGAAAATGGCCGGTCGTCATGATTTCACTAAAATTCCGAATGGAGTGAACGGTGTCGAAGATCGTATGAGCATCGTATGGGATCGTGGCGTTCATTCTGGAAAAATCAATCCAATGCGGTTTGTGCAAATTACAAGGTATGTTATTACACATGTATTACCTGTCGTCCTGTTGACCTTTGATTTGTCGTGCGGTCGGCAGCAATGTTTCTGTTCGTCCTTTCTCGTTCAAAGCCACGCTCCGGGATTAGGCGCGCTTGCCTGTTTTGTCCGGGGTAGTATACAGGAGGAAAAGCCTTGATTTCGCGCACTAAGTCAATCATGAGAACCCAGGATTGCGCAATCAAACGTGGAGAGGCCAGGACAACTAGAGGAGACGCCTAATTTCACAAGAACGATTTATCAGGATGGTTTCCTAACTTCCACCGTAACCACGTTGCACTGGGGCGCACTATTGAGCACTGGAGCGCGCAATCGGATCGGCGGACGTGTACACTTCCTTTGATCGGGACTTAGCCTGGGTATTATAACACCTTTCCTTGCGACCACTACACTCACATGCGCCGAAGTGCGGCCTTACCTAAGGCTGATGTCAGAGTCCGCGATTCTTTGCGCGATTTTCGCGATTTGTGCAGGATAAATAAAAACCGGAGAATACTGACGGTCACGGAAATCTCAAGTGCTCATTCAATACTGCAAGGTGTTCTCTTCCACTTGCTTCATATTCAGTGTTTCAATTGTTCAAATGGGCCACTTGCAATTTTTGTGATCCGCACGAAGCCTGCGACGGATTAAGAGTAACCCGATCAATCCCCCCCTACTTTAAACACGGTATAGGGCGCCGCGGCGAGCACGGCCGAGCCAGTAGTGCCCGCGAACTGTGCGGGGAATCTTGAAAGCGCTCTAGTGCACGGGCACCGTGAGTACGTTTTCAAATTTATCATTGATCCTGCTTGCCAATTCTGATTTAGAGTGGGGATTGGGAGACTGTTCTTCCATGGTTCTAACTGTGTCGCGTTTAATAATGTTTCGTAGTCCATTCAAGTATGTATATGATCCTTTTCCACTTTGTTTTTTTTTCAGAGTCAAGAATAATAGACATAACATTGAACGAGTAGAATCACAAGCAGTCTTCCTTCAATTTCCAGGACTAAACAGCACCTCGCAGTATTCATCGGGGCACCTCCAACCGGTCCCTACGTTGTTATCATCCAGTTCGGAATAAATCGGCAAATGGAAAATCGCAAAATGCGCAAAATCCCGCAATCGCGAAAATCGCGAAATCGCGCGATCGGATGCGGACATCTGACACCAGCCTAATCGGTCGGCGCAATGTGGCTCGGGGGGGGGGGGGGCCAGCCGCCGCGCGCGGCGTTGCGGCAACAGGAAATTCGTGAAGCCAGGGGGAATGTAGCCAATTCAGGGGGTGGGGTGAGGGCAGTCACTTAGCATGCGTGAGAAGCTGGAATGTTCGAGTTACACTACATCGCTGAGCCGCGCGCGGCAACTCCGCCCCCCCCCCAGGGTCAAGCGTGCGTTGAGGAATCCTCGACACGTCGCAGGGGGGGGTCGTATTGGCCCGCTGGGAGGAAGGGATCGGGCCGGATTGATGCACCACTGTCGGAGGACAAACATCAGGGATCGAGTCGATGCCATGGAAGGCCAGAGGACTTCCAGTACCAATGCTGTTCCGCCCACATAAAATTTTCGTGATTCAGAGGTGTGCGCGTAGTGATTTTTCACTACCTCAGAGTTTTATCTTTAAACTATCACTAACAAGTCAAAAAATCCAAAATTCGCACGTTTTCCAACGGATATTTTCTTTCAGGTGAGTCCTCGAATCTCAAGGGATGTGAAGCACACGGCGCATACCAGAGTGGGCCCAGTTAGTTGCGCGCGCTTTAACTACGGCTCTTGAGAGAAAAACTCTCAATTCAGAGAAAAATTAAGAGGATCCTGAAAGGGTCTGTGTGAGATTACATGGAGGAGTACACTATTGAGCAAGAAATGCAGCCTTCAGCGTCAAATTCACAAGCATGTAATCGTTAAAGTTAAGACACGCTAAACAATTTTACATTTCTTGGAAAGAGAAAAGAAAGAGGATTTCGAATCTGCTCCTACTTTAGTGTATAATTGCCTCCTGAAAGGAGCTATAGTCGTTGGAGTAGTGCTAATGCAGCGAAAAAGTGACTTTCGGCGGTACTCGGGCAAAATCCTCAACGTGGCCATTTTTTAAATTGTGGACGTTTTTAGCAGTCCTAGTAACCGTTGAATAGTGCAATTCTTCTAGTTTATGCTGACGTATTTACTTTTCAGATTGGATGGGTTTGAACGTAGTTATGGTCTTGGAAAGCGTAAAAACTCGCACTCATCGCAAATTTTCCTCGTTAATTTTGCGAAAAATCCTCAACGTGGCCATTTTTTAAATAGTGGACATATAAAGCTGCTTTAGCAACCATTTGATAGAGAAAATCTTCTAGTTTTGTCTGACATATTAACTTTCCGGGAATGACGAAAAGGGAAGCAAGTTACGGCTTCGGAAAGTGTAAAAACTCGTGCTCATCATGAATTTTCCTCGTTAATTGATCTAAATTTGTTATTTCTTATAAATTTTTGTAATTTCAATACTGATTAGAAAGAGCTCTTCACAAAACTTCCAAATCTGCTTTCAGATTGAAAATTCGTCATATTTGAAGAAAGTTATAATCATTTGAATATTTGTTCAAATTTCAATAGTAGATAAGCTGCTCCACGGTCAACGCCAAAGATCAGTCAGCACGCAGCTGGCTAAGGCGGTTAAAAAGCTTCTTTCAACTGAAGGGGGACGTGTAAATTGAACCGTACTCTGTGTAGTACTAAATTTGGTAAGTCTTGTGAGGAAATAAATAAAGAAGAGATGTTGTCATAGTATGCATTTTTAGTGAGTAGTTTGAGGTTTTCTGCTGCTTTTTTCGTTTGCTCGTTTGGTAGGACTCATCAATAATGATTAATTTTTTGACTTTTCACTTTTGTACTTTTTAAAAGAATTTTCGGTTGACGGTGTGATGGGCTTTTTTATGAACAGTTTTGGGGGAGAATTAGACAACCTTTCCATAGTTCGGCTTTTGAAGAGGGTCGTTTCATGGACTTCGGCCTTTGGCGGAGGGAGGGGGGTCGTATTTCCACATTTTCCTCGACGCCTCGCTTGACCCTGCTCCCGAGCCACACTGCGCCCGCATTTCTCTGCGGCAGAACCAATGCCTTGCCCTATTCCGCTTTCTACAGCGATGGCGCTCCGTGTGGTTGACGACCACATTCTCGTCGTGGAGGGAGAAAACGACGAAAACAAATCGATAACATGTGGCAGTGCGGGCCCCACCGCGAACGCGCTTACGGTGGAAGCTAGGAAACCATCCTAAGAAATCGTTTCTGTCCTAATTTCTTGTTCCACCACGTCAAAAGGATTAGATGCCATACAACCCTGTGTGTTGACTTGGCGTTGACCGTGGAGCAGCTTATCTACTATTGAAATTTGAACAAATATTCAAATGATTATAACTTTCTTCAAATATGACGAATTTTCAATCTGAAAGCAGATTTGGAGTTTTGTGAAGAGCTCTTTCTAATCAGTATTGAAATTACAAAAATTTATAAGAAATAACAAATTTAGATCAATTAACGAGGAAAATTCATGATGAGCACGAGTTTTTACACTTTCCGAAGCCATAACTTGCTTCATTTTCATCAAATCTGAAAAGTTAATATGTCATACAAAACTAGAAGATTTTCTCTATCAAACGGTTGCTAAAGCAGCTTCATACGTCCAGTATTAAAAAATGGCCACGTTGAGGATTTTTGCAAAATTAACGAGGAAAATTCGTGATGAGTGCGAGTTTTTACGCTTTCCAAAGCCATAACTCCGTTCAAACTCATCCAATCTGAAAAGTTAATACGTCATCATAAACTAGAAGATTTGCTCTATTCAACGGTTACTAGAACTGCTAATACGTCCACTATTAAAAAAATGGCCACGTTGAGGATTTTTGCCCGAGTACCGCCGAAAGGTACTTTTTCGCTACATTGGCACTATTTCAACGACTATAGCTCCTTTCAAGGGCGATTATGTACTAAAGTAGGAGCAGATTCGGAAATCCGTGCTTTTCTCTTCTAAAAAGTGTAAAATTGTTTAGCGTGTCTCAACTTTAAAGGTTACATGCTTGTGAATTTGACGCTGAAGGCTGCGTTTCTTGTTGAATAGTGTACTCCTCCCTGTAATTTCACATGAACCCTTTCAGAATCCTCTTGATTTTTCCTGAATTGAGATTCTTTCTCCAGAGAGCCGTAGTTGAAGCGCGCGCAACCAACTGGGCCCACTCTGGGATGCGCCGTGTGCTTCACATCCCTTCAGATTCGAGGACTCACTTGAAAGATAAAATATCCCTTGAAAACGTGCGAATTTCGGATTCTTTAACTTGTGTGGTGATAAACACTGAAGTAACTAAGAATTGCTAAGCGGACACCTCTAAATCACGAAGATTTTGTGGAATCAATTGTTATTGGAAATACTCTGGCCTGGCATCGATTCGATCCTTGATGTTTGTCCTCCGACGATGATCCTACTGCATCAATCGGCCCGATCTCTTCCTCCCAGCGGGCCAATACGACCCCCCCCCTGTGACGTGTCGAGGATTCCTCAACGCACGCTTGACCCTGCCCGCAACCCACACCTTCGTCCGCAAGCCCCACCCTCCGCTGTCGGTTGCCACGTGGCGCTGCTTGAAAAGCGCGGGCGCATTTGAGGCAGCGGTCCCATCGCGACCAATGTCATTGGCACTGGAGCAACTAGAGTTAGGTTCGTGAAACTCGTCCAACGCGCCCCTTCTCTATCCCAAGGTGGAATGCGGCTGAAATAGGGGAGGTCTCTGTGCGGGGCGTAATCGGTGGTTTCGTTTGCTTTCCTTCTCTTTTACAGACCACCTCCCACCTCTAGCTTCATAACTGAACGCTTTTCCACACCTATTTTATCCCGAATCTTGCCCTTAAGTAGTCCGAGGGTCCCTCTCGCTCGAGAAACACGCAGTCCTTCATCCATTTCGTTGAGGAAAAAGGAACCATATCGGTGAATTTTGAGTGATAACTATGCAGAACACAAATGGC